CATTCCCTGCTCTCAGGGAACAGAGGTTATGTAAGTTTTTTGGCATCTCCATGTGGGCCTGTTCGGTATCGTAACTTGACTCTTTGCTGTTGCACTGTACACTTACTATACATTTTGAATTTTGTAAAGATTTTTTTCTAATGGGTGCTCTGGTGTGCATTAATTCATGAATTATGGACTCCTTATATCTTTTGGTTATTTGGTGTATTTGGTTGTTTGTTTTGTTGCGTCCAGAGCCGTAAGGTTTTGTTTGTGTGTGCCCAAGCTGTGCTGTTTCTCTCTCTCTCCCTTGCTGCATTCCAGTCCAAAATTGTCATGCCCTTCACTCGCTAACTTCCCTCCGTCTCGTTCACTCGGATGTACGACATTGCTTACGTTGCATGAGTGCCCACTACTGGCGGAAACTGCAATTGGCTGAACTGGAATGTCCTAAGCCCTTGATCACTTGGAATCAGCTATGGAGTTGATTTATAATTTTTTTTAAAAAATGTTTCCCTTTAAGAATTTGTTTAATGCCGCATCCGAATGTATATAGGTGTGTTTGGGTTGTTTTAAATAAAAAAAATCATAATTAATATATCATAGGGTTGTTTGTGGTGGTGGTGATTAAACGAGATCTGCGGTGACGTCACAATCGTGTTACATTGTTGTATATGGAGCTGCCTGAAGTGTACATATGAAGTAGACGGTCAAAAATTCGGTCATATTCGTCCATATAAACTTCCCTCGTCCACTTCACGAAGTGGAACGCACTTCCAAATGGCAGCAGGATTTCCCTGAGGGGAAGTGCTTAGGGAAGTTCGCAAGTGCGTGTCTAAAAGTGGACTGGAACGCAGCACCTGTCTCTCTTCGTAGGAGAAATGGTTTCCACTTGATGCCAATAATCAATGCCCTGCTGTGATTGGATGCTGGGAGGGGAAGGAGAGTATTTAAACTGCAACCATCATCAGAGCTGTGTAGGTGGTTCAACAGCTTTGAGGTCTCATCTTCAACCCCAGACTTGATGTTGTGTTGAAGCAGCCCAGTCTCATCCCAAGACGTCATATGAAAGACGCTTTTGACCATACGTCAACATCCGACGTTTTAGGGTACCCTTTAACGTCAGTTAGATGACGCTATCTAATCCTAACCCTACCCCAGACCTAAACCTACCCGCGTCATCTAACTGACGCTAAAGGTAAAGCGTCAGATAGATGATGCCCTAGGATCGTCATCTAACTGACGTTAAAGGGTACCCTAAAACGTCGGATGTTGACGTATGGTCAAAAGCATCAGTCATATGACGTCTTGGGATGAGACTGTGTTAGTTGAAGCAAGTAGTTGGTGGTGTTGCGTATCTTTACCTCATTTGTGTTCTACTTATTGAAGTAGAGTTTTCTCTTTAATCTCTTTTGATTACACTCTATGATTGAGACTTAAAAGGCAGAAATGAGTGTTAACTTCAATGATTATTCATTGTATGGTTTAATTAATCTGTTTTTCTCTTGGTTTACTTGAAGTATGCTAGTTAATCTATTAATTTATTTATTTGTGGGGTTAGTAGGGAGGTGGGTGCCATTTTATTATGAACTTGACTTTTTCTCCTGTTTATGTTAGCAAGGGAGTCAGCTTATTTTGCTGTACTCTTGTTTTCTTTTCATTTAGTTTAAAATAAGGAGGTAGACTGATTATGTTGTTATGGCAATACCCCCTTCTGAATCTGATACCCCTCTTTTTCTTTTGCTTAATTTGTAAATACAAACTACTTTCTTTCATGAAATATTATGTGGTTATTTGGGTTGTTGTGAAACAATTCTGGGCCTGGAGACGGGGTGGCTTCATGCTGTTTCACATTAATTTCACCACCATCCATTTTTGCGGTTGCTTTCCTCCCCTAGACCAATCAGGAAATCGTAACAGTATGATTTGCATTAGCACAGACTGTTAGAGTCTGATGATTGGTTAAAAAAAGACAAAAAAAATGACAGTTATGAGAAATATTTTCAATACAGATAAGTGACATAATTTATCTGTTAGTGTGTGTGCTCTAGAAGGGTCTGTAAGCAGCTGTGCACACTCTTGTAACTGCGCTCTGAACTGTAATTGGGCTGCTGGGCTTTACGAGGCTGCCATAAATTTGTCGCTCTTGTCCTAAAGACTATTATTTTGACTTAAAAACCTTCTGCAAGGACACATTCACTTTCTCTCTCTGCCACACAGACACACAAATCTATACATCCGTACATACTTCCCTAAATGTCCTGTCATTCAAATGCATTACATATATCCATTTTGGTTTATTCATTCACTCACACCCACATTAACTCTTCATCCTGCTTCACATAATATTTGTCCGACTTTGTAAGTTAAAAATTGAAGGGGCTGTCCCAAATCTCTGTACACTATAAATATTATGCCAAAGATACCTACTTTCTCTGCGTGTTTATTAATTGTACATCCATGCATGCAGTGCATTTGTGAAAGTGTTATAAAACGGTGCGTAGGATCCTTACTAAAAGTGTACGTGCGTCCGAAAGCCAAAAATGGCGTACGCTAAAAAATATTCAGACTTATAAAACCGTGCGTTCGCCAGAACCTGCGCAAAATTCACTTTATAAATCCCAGTCAGCGGAAGAATGTGCTCACATGCGTCTCCTCCCCGAAATAACCATATATGGAGCTTACAACAACTAGTTTTACTACGCATATCCTCATCTGCATATCATTTGCATATGATTATTCATCCATGTGATACCATGTTTAAAGATACAAGATATTAGGAAAATATGAAATACGGATGTGCCGTCACATTAGGCTACATTAATAAAAATCATAAGCCTATCCTTGCCTTGTTTTTGAATAAATAAATCAAATAGTGTAAAATACATTTCAGAGAAAGTTTCTCAATCTCACTGGCCAAATAGTATTTTTAATTGATTATATTTTTAATGGAAACAGATAGATCTTGTGCATTATTTGCACGAAACTATTTTCTCAGACAATCTGCTATTATCATGATGAGCAATTATGTATGTAAAACATTAAAACACAGAATGCCAGAGGAAAAGTGTTCAAAAGCATTGCATCCACAACAAATATTTATATTTATTGAATATAAAAAAATGTTGTAACTTCTCAGTAATGATTTCATGTAGTTTAAGTGTTTAACTCCATTAATGGGAATGGCATATTTAATCTAAATGTTTATATCAAAAGTAAAACATAGTTTAAATCATTATTTTATTTATTTAAAGTGTCATTGTGAACATGCACTCTATTTATGATTATGACTCATAATAAAGATTAACGGTTTTACTTCATCTGCCGTTAGATAGGCTATATATGTGTCAGTTTCACTAAACGGCCCAACGCGCTCGCTGGCGCAGACATTTAAGAAGGGATGGATATTTGCTTCAAGTGATAGGCTTGGTGAGTGAAATTATATTTGTATTATCTTTCTGTTTATGTATCATTTTCTTTAGATTTTCTGTCTAAAAGTGACCAAAAAGACATTTAACTCCAACTCACCATCTGTGTCGCCAATTCCCTTTGTCTCCAGAATGTGCGTACGCACGGCTCAAAGTTTGCTTAAAGGTGCGCACATTCTCCCGTCAAGTATGTTTTTTATAGATCACAACCTTTGCGTGGAAACTGCCGTACGTACGTTTCCAGCCCCGTTTTGTGCGTACGCACGCTTTATAAATGAGACCCCTGGTGATTTTTTTTCTGCCAAAGTGGTGAGAAATAAGAGTCTGAAGTTGCCACTGCAGTTTTTAAATGAAGTATGAACCTAAAAATGAAGTAATAATTAATTGCCAGAATCTGGATGTTGTTATTCAGGCAGCTAAATATAAACATGCTGATGGCTTAGCTAACGTGAACTAACTTTGAGTTATGAATTGTGCAGCCTGATATTTTATCCACCATTTAAATATCAAACAACATCTGTTTGGCACCAAAACACTGTGTCTGGATTTTTCTGTAATGTTGATTCTAATGATATACCCTCTCACTGACACTCTGAAATATTATTCTATAATATTAACAAAAATATTAAGCAGCACAGCTGTTTTCGACAATGTTTCTAAATCATAATATCATCACATTAGAATGATTTCTGAAGGATCATGTGACACTGAAGACTGGAGTAATGATGCTGAAAATTCAGCTTTGACATCACAGAAATAAATTACATTTTCAAATGTATTCAAATTGAAACCAGTTCTTTTAAACCATAATTATATTTCGCAATATTACAGTTTTTACTGCATTTTTTATCAAATAAATGGAGCCTTGGTGAACACCACAGCCAATCCAAAGCTGTTATTCATTGTTAGTCGTTCATTCTTCAGAGTTATTTTTGTAGAGGAGGAGGATAAGGATAGCTGGTTGGCTGACAATATATGAACTGACAGCATAATGACATTGCTGAAACATTGCTGAAAACTAAGAGCACACCTGAAACGCACACACACGTGGACACACACACACACACACTGTAACATTCCATTGTAAAACTGCACTTAATTGAGGTGAAGCCTTCGTGCCTCTGAAATACTCATTAACACGTTTAATCTTTTTCCCTTTTCTAAGAACATGCCAAGAACGTAATTATGCCAACACCTGGATGGAGCTGCTCAGGTACAGACATGAACAGGCATGTACCACTGACAAAAAAACTAGGTCAGTGTGCCAGTGCATGTGTGAGTGCAGTGAACGTGCTAAATGTTGTGCGAAAAACTGAATAAATAGGATTATGGTGAGACATTAATGAGATTACAGAGCTCCTGTAACTGGGGGAGACATCCTGCCTCGCCACACAAACAAAAACACCCTGTGTCTCACAACCCGGCCTTCCGGGAACAGCTGGACAACTTTGAAAACAGACACTAGCATCTTTTTGTGATGTCACAATGTTGCAAGGTGCTGCATGGTGTGAAAATGAAGACATTATATTACACAGTGTCTATGATGTCATCATGTCCACAAAGTCAAAACAATGTAATGGAGAGAAGACCTACCCGCTCTCCTTTTGGAGGGAAACACTGGCAGACGCTGCAGTCTCGACCTCCGCACTCTTCTGTCTTGTCCCCCTAAAACACAGAAATACAGTGTCAAGAATGGAGTAAAACACATTCATACACACAAAGACTCATACACTAGCAATTCAAAATGGAAACTCAATAATTACCTTTAACTATTGTATACAAATTCCATATTTTGAAGGTTCAGAAGACAATATTCATTGCTTGTGTTTAGTGTTTTCCTTAGATTACACACTTATATTGTTGAGAGGTGTTTGCCTGTGGGAAGTGCTATCCCAATGCTACTGTCTTCTGGCTGGTTTCCACAGAGTTGCTACATATTTGCATGTGTTCTGAATAGTTTTTAGCATGTTGTTATATGATTGCTATGGTGTTCTGGGTGGTTGCTAGGAGGTTCCTTACAAGACCAAATAAAAAGAGGCCTCCCTCACTTATCTGACACCTAAAGGAGTGTTGCACTATTTAATTTAAATGTAATAGTCCTACAAATAAACTAAACCTCTGACTGACAGACTTCATCATCATATATAATTGATTAATTATATGAATAAGTGACATTTTATTGGCTTTCTAGCATGAAATAGATGTACATTTCTTGTGTCGCATAATAGCTTCAAATTCCAATACATCAATTACTACTGTAATTATATTTATAGGCATATTTTATACACACACAAAATCACCAATACTGTTATATAAACTAACATTATTGGTGATTAATGGTATCTGTAATGGTTAATCCACCAGTATGTGTAAAGTCAAAGTCCGGACTTGACAACAGTCTTGAGACTGTGGGAAAGTACTGTACATTTCCCACTGTGGGAAAGTACTGTACATAAAAACAATGCCAGAAAGAATGCAAGCTGTTATCAAGGCCAAAGTACGCCATACAAAAAAATAGTAAATTTTTGGGTAATTATGTGTGAATAAAGACTACTGTATTGTAAGAAATTGTAGTCTGCCTCGACCCAGATTCCACTCCAAAATATATTTTAGAATGAGCTCATCCCCAAAATGGCTTAATTATCATAGAGATGAAGGAAGAGAAGTTATATTGTTTCTTCACCATTTGGGTTGATCACATAAGATGCGATTATAGATAATACTCTATTACATACAGAAATGGACCATGGTGAACATCTTTAGGGTGTGTGTTCAGTTTGGTTCGCTTGGTTTGTTTGGTCCGGACCAAAAAAAAAACATTTAGTTCTGGGAACCCTGTTTTGTTTTCAGAAAGTTTAATATAACTTTCAAAAAAGTCCAGTACAAAAGTTACTGCCTCTCATAAAGAACAGTCCTCCGTAGGCTAGACCGTCCCACCGTAACAACGCTTGTTCCTACCACTCTGTATCCTTCAAAGGATGGAGCCTCTGAATTGGAACGCAGCTATTGGTTCTCATGCGTTAGGCACGCACATTTTGAGCTTCTTTTCCTTTTAATGGTGGTTGGCAAACCCACTTCAATGTGCATATCGCCACCTACTGCACGACACCTGAGTGACAGCTGACGTAAAATAAAGGACCGAGCTTAGGATAGAGATAGTACCGATACCGATCACTTAAAAAAAAAAAAAAACTTAATTGGCCCCGATACCAATCCTTGAGAACAGCTCGGGACATCCATATTTCATACACAACTTTACACATACTTTGCTTACAAATAAAAGTGCTTGTGACCAACTAGCTAAGTATGATCTACTTTGCAGGCACCAATAACAATTATTTTATTTAACCTGAGGTGCTATAATGAATAACCAACAGTTTCCTAAAATGCTAAACCAGACTAGATGTTTGATATTGAAGTCACGGGTCACCCACAAACATACATTTATGCATTTGGAAGACGCTTTTATCCAAAGTGACTTACATTGCATTTTAAGGTACCCGTTTTATAATCTTATCAGTTCTTGCTTTCCCAGGGAATCGAACCCATGACCTTGGCGTTGCAAGCGCCAACGCTCTACTGTTTGAGCTACAGGAAAGCTTGCAGGAATGTAAACAGAGATAACAAAATACCAAAACCAAAGAGAGAGAGACCAAGACCAAGAAAGAAAGAGAGAGAGACAAAAACATGAAAAACAGAGGAGGGACAGACTGAAAAATCTGAGTACATTACGTACAAGAGGGAGAGGATGTTTAGGTCAGGCATGTTATGTCTTTTTGGAGGTAGTCAGTCACGTAATAAAAAAAGGAAAAGGTAGAGTGATAAACTGTACTTGCAATCAGAAACCATTCTTTCACAAACGCACACTCATTGTGCACAGTGTCTGACTCTGCAAACATAGACACACATCTAAAATGAGCACACGCTCCACAAAGAGGCACACAATCATTTTACCGAACATTGACAATTACGTTCCTCTGGTGGAATGATCTTCCCAACCCTACAAACAGCTGAATCCCTTGATAGCAATATTAAAAAACGGCTTAAAACACATCTAATCCATAAGCACTGAACTGTTTGCTGCTGATGTTGACTCCGTCCTATACCATCTTTATCACATTGAATGATTAGCATATCTCAAGTTATTGCCTTCTTAAGATGAATAGCGTTGCCAGATTTCTAATTTGTAAGCTGTTTTGGAAGAAAGTATTTGAAAAATGAGTAAATATAAAATACATTTTAAATCACATTTAAACATTTGCCTGTAGAAGTCTGTCCATTTAAAGTACACAGAAAACCTTTTTCCCCAGAACACTTTAACCAGGCTTAACAACAACAAAAAACCTTTCCACATTTTGGCAAGGGGACAAAGAGTGTGTTAAAATTTACCAAAAGTGCAAAAGGCCAATCTATCACAACATAAACAAGTGGAAGTCTGAAGGGCACACAATGATAATGCATGCAACAAGCCGCAAACTCCTGCAAGCGCGTACAATATTTTACAAAGTCAGCACACTGAGCATAAAGGAGAAGAGAGAAAGTGATTGTATGTTACCTCATTTATACTCCTAGTAATTGTGGGACAATGTGAATATACTGGGTGAATACTGCAGAGTTATTTTCCTCATAGGGTGCTAATAACAATGCAGATTTATTTTCACAGCCTTCTTTGCTCATATTTTTCTGATCTCAACTATGTGTATCATGTGTGTGTGTGTGTGTATGCACACATAATAGGGGCTGTGAATTACACAAGAGTTAATGGTTAAGTGCTGGGTTATGACATCAACTCAGGGTTTGAGATGGTCCGTGCTGACTGGATGATGAGCATAACCGCACGCTTCACTTCAAGTCAGATGTGTGAGATTAGAGAGTTAGGGTACGATGGTTGCTGCATGGCAGAGAGACACGCTTCCCTTATTCTCACACTTCTTCTGTCTTGCTCCCTATTTTTCCATTCCGCTTTCCCCTCATGTTACCTGTATTGCCCCTGATTATCCCATCGCAATCTTAAATTATCTGAGATTGAGTTACACCCGATCCTGGCTTTTTTCTACTTGATGATTTTGAGTTTGAGTTCGATTTTGTCTTAAGGGATGTTTGGTGGCTTGGCATTACACAGGACAGATTATTAAAATATCTATAATTTGTAACCAACTGAAAACACTTGGATTAGCCTCACCTGCACGATAAAACCAGTTTTAGATGATTAATTAATGTTTTTTTAAAGGAACTATAGCTTAAGATCACATATTTGCTCCTCAATGTAAAAGTTAACAATGTAACAATGCTAGTTTTTTTAAAGCCAGCAAATCAACAGTATTAAAATTAAGTAAAAGCCACACCAAAGCCACATTCCAAAACCACTTACGGGCTACATAAGCACTTACAAAAAGCATTATCAGCAAAAAATAAAATAAAATAAAAATACAGTTGGACAGGTGAACTGATTCAAAATTCGTTTTTTAAATAAATTAAACACTTGATTTTGAACTTGGTTTAAACGAAAATATTAAGCAGCACAACTGCTTTCACCATTGATAATAATCATAAATGTTTTTTGAGCATCAAATCCATCATATTAGAATGATTTCTGAAGGATCATGACACTGAAGACTGGAGTAATGATGTAACTGTACTGTAACTGTTTTTACTGTGTTATTATCAAATACATGTGGCCTCAGTGAGCTTAAGAGGGTTCTTTCAAAAACATTAAACATTCTGAACAGTAGTGTATTTTAGAGAAAAGCAAAGCTACAAAAATGAAAATACACACTGCAAAAATATTTCCTTTTTCATTTTCATTTCCCAAGTGCATGACTTTTCAAGGTCTGGATTTCCCAAATCCCAAAAGTTATTGGACTCCTTCCCATTTCTTTCTTTCTTGCTTTATTTGAACATGAGTTCAGTTACAGTATGTCACCAAGGTAATAACTTATGTATTGGGACATCTGGATGTGTTTAAATCTTTCTTTTCCCCATATATCTGCTCTTCTCCATACCTGGAGGAGGTGCTTCCCTCTGCACCTCCGACAGGATGTTGACCAGACAGCCAATCAAAGAAAGTGCAACAGATAAATCTCTCTTACTTAGACTCTATCCAGATCTCCCTCTACACTTACTCTCTTCCCAGCAGGGGTTCTCAACTCTGGTCCCGGGGTCCACTTTCCTGCAGAGATTAGCTCCAACACTAATAAAACACACCTGAAAGGGCTAAGCAAGGTCTTCAACATTATTATAAAGTTACTGGCAGGTGAGTTTGATCAAGGTTGGAGCTAAACTAAATGGACCTCGAAGGCCAGAGAATGAGAACCCTTGGTTTAGAGGCCAAAAGATTTAATCAAACATGTAATCATCAAAATCTGGCAACATCAAAATCTGGCAACCAATTTTCAATTTTCAAGCATTTTAAGCCTTTAGGTTTGAAAGATCATGTAAAACAATCAAATCAAGTTCGTCTAGCTGGTACTGTAAATCGTCAGGTTGGAAGTCGCTCCTTCATGGAGTGAGACAGAAAATGTACACGTCATTCATGAGTAAGTATTTCTGATACATTTTCCCTAGTGTGTGTGTGTGTGTGTGTGTGTGTGTGTGTGTGTGTGTGTGTGTGTGTGTGTGTGAGGCAGCACCTGCTTTGTGACACCTGGTCATTTTTGTCAGGTTTA